GAGAAGTGTGTATCTGCAGGACCGTTAAGTGGAAAAAAGAACACAGACCAGTGTTTAAACACTAGTGGTTAAGGATGTGTGTGCACATTAACGAAGATCAGAGGCCAATTTTGAGAAATGAAAATGGCTGGAATTCAGTGTTTGCTGGGTCTTTCCTTTCCTGTGCAAGTTCCATGAGTTTATGACAGTAAAAGCTGAACATCAGGCAACATGGATAGCCTGAAAGTCCTCACAGAATAAGGGCTCTCAGTTACCTACCAGCTTGTAATTCCATGCTAAATTCTCAACAAATTATTATAAAAAGAATGACATTTCTTCAAGAGAACAAAACACGTTTCTTTAATTCAACAAGCAATTTTGAGAACTTAACTATGTGCTATGCTCATGAAATTTACCAAAAAATATGGGTAAAGCGTCCCAGGTGGGTACGTTATTATTTTAACTTACTTTTGTTTATTTGGATGACTGTATATATTGGGACCTAGTACAAAGGAAAGTCTGAAAGACCTTTGGCCTAAACCTCACGTTCACAAATTGTCTCAGTTTTATACTTTCGATGTTGTCTCTGAAAGGGGTTCTATGTACAGTCGCCGAGGTATACTGCTAAGGATTAAAAAGAAAAGGTCATCATCACATCACTTTAAACTTGTGTCACATTGTCAATGTAGTGCACTCTTTTATAAATCCAGTGGTTATCTTGTGAATAAGAGTTATTGACAATGTGAGACATATTACACTCTCATTAAAAGAAATAAACCACAATTATTTATATCTTTGTTTTAGAATTTCTTCATTTTTAAAAATTCACTGAGACCCTCAAAAAATGGAGGTGACCCAGTCTTCTCTAGATCTCTGGGAGACCCTAAGCAAAATTATCACTTTATCTTTAAAATGTGATCATTTTAACTAAGCTAATGGGTTGTTAATAATCTCATTATATAGACACCTAACGTACAAACTGCTATCTACTAGCTGGACTGTTTCTGTTGCCCTGTAACCAGTGGTCAGAAAATTCCCAGCTTCTACAGCAGTGGTTCACAGCCCTTTCTGCAGGTCAGAGTCAACCTATGTTTTTCCAGACCTCACTCCAGACCTCCTGACCTAGGCTCTCCGGGGCTGAAGTCTGGAGATTCCTATACTTAAAAAGCTTTCTTCTTCTTCTCTTTCCTGCACTGTATTTCCCTATGGTTCCAGGACTCCGAATTCAAGCTAGCACTGTGGTTTAGTTGCATCATGGGTTTAACAGATCTGAAGAATAGCCTGAGGGTCAACCAACATTTTCAATATAGCCTCTCTGGGGTGATGTGCTACAAGTCCCCCAAAAAACAATTCAGAAAAGAAGTCTGAGGATGCAGTCCACAAATTTTGGGGAGAATTGCCTACAAAACACTTTGGATCAAAATACCTCCAATTAGACCTCAAATTTCTTACTGTGCTTAAATGTACAAAAGTAAATAAACACTGAATCAAAAATGTTACATTCAAGTGTCTGTTCCTTTTTTTTCCTTTTAACTCTATTTTTTAAAAATTGAAGTACAGTTGATTTACAACATTGTGTTAGTTTCAGGTGTACAGCATAGTGATTCAGTTACATACACATAGTTTGTTCCGATTCTTTTCTATTATAGGTCGTTACAATATATTGAATATAGTTTCCTGTGCTATACAGTACGGCCTTGTTGTTTATCTATTTTTTATATAGTAATTTGAATCTGCTAATCCCAAACTTTTAATTTATTCCTCCCCCACCCCCTTTCCCCTCTGGTAACCATAAGTTTGTTTTTTATGTCTGTGAGTCTGTTTCTGTTTGGTAAACAAGTTCATTTGTATTATTTTTTAGATTCCACATATGTTATATTGTATATTTGTCTTTCTCTGACTTACTTCACTTAGTATGATAATCTCTAGTTCCATTCATGTTGCTGCAAATGACATTATTTCATTCTTTTTTATGACTGAGTGGTGTTCCATTGTATATATATATACCATATCCTCTTTATCTATTCATCTGTTGATGGTCATGTCAATCTTATAAATGATGTGAAGTACCAGGTTTTCACAGGCAGTAAAACTTTAACAAGGCCAAACTATCAAATGATTGGATTCTTTTTCCCTCATGAAAACACAAATCTGAAGAAAATGAGTCTACCACACAGAGAAAAACAAATTCCAGGATGTGGGCTGAGGTCAGTACACATGCTGTGCATTCTCCTGCACCTTCTCCTCTTCATCCTAGTTCTGTACCATGATTACTGATGCTCTGGAGATGAGTCTCTCTGCATCGCAGCAAAATGCACCATCCATGAAATAAAGGTTTACTCGTGTTCATCTAAACCGAAAACACATAGGAAAATGTCCAGGGAAGTTGGAGAAGCATATAAGAACCAAAGAATCAGGGTACATTGTCTCACTCCCCATGCTGCCCCAATTTACCTGACCTTACATCCCCTTTGGAATGATTATGTCTATGGGGTCAAAGGAAACCACTTTCCTACAGGTAGATACTGAAGGCATCTGACTAAGGGTTATGTTTATATTCTGAGGAGAGGTAACCAGGATATTTGGAAAAGGATCAAATTCAAAGTTAAGTTCAAAAGGACCATGATTTTGAGTAACAGAAAATGGCATTGTGTTGATCAGTACAAAGCCTGGTTATAAAGGTGGAGGGTTTAATTGATACAGCTGCTGAGGCTTTTCAGCTGCATCAGAGAGTTGAGGCAATAATTACCGACGTGAAAAACCGCTCCAGCCTGCCTGATTCGAAGGTGAGTCTTAGAAGAAGGATGATGTATCTGGGACCCTGTAGGAGGAGGCTTCCAGGCTGAACAGTTGCCACCGATCTGAATGCCCCAAGAAAGCACCCACGGATGCTTTTCCTTTGATTTTCCTCCCCTGAATGATCCAGAAAATTGCCCTTCAGCCCATGCTTCACTAACGTGGGACAGAATGCGCTCATGTAACTATTGCCTGGGCTACAGCCGCTGCTTCAGATGAAAACCCAGGAAGCCGAATCCCCGCTGCCATTGAAAGTTTATAATTAGCTCCTTGTGCAGCCCGACCCCACTGGTTTTTCTGACGCATTTGGCTCAAAATGCGTGCCCTTTCTGAGACCTCCAATATCTTCCCCGCAGCTGGAGATGCCACAAGCTGCACGCAGCACTTCCTGTGGGTGTGGCCTCGCATTCTTCAGGCTGCGCGCTGAATGAATCACGTGTTTCAACCACTCGCACGCAGATTCACAGGGCTTTTTGAAATGCAGGGGTAGATCAGGAGTGGCTCTCTCAGACATAAGAGGGTCCCCTCACTCCTTTTTCTTTTTAAAAAATGATTTTGTAACGGTGGCCTCTCCAGAAACTCTAATTCGTCGGCCTGGGTGCATTTGATGTCCTCCCAGATAACGTCATCAGCTATTCTCAGGAGAGGAAAGGCAGGGTATGCCCCCTGGGACAATGACAACACTTGTTTCAAGTTGGGGAAGAGCCTGTGGTTCTTTTCCTGCGTTTGGGGGAAAGCGAGCACACAATGTCCATTTCCTAAATACGGGATGTGCTGCGAGGCTGGCGGGTCATTTTCCACCATGTCATATCCTTCTGGATGAAGGCAGCAGGGGCCAGGACAGGAAACGGCAAATTCTCAGAATGAGACAAGGCTTTCCCAGGGCAGTCATTGGCTCTCCGTTACTATAAAGTCTGCTCATACAGAAACAGTCTCAGATTTTTTTCTTTCCTGGAGATAGCCAGAAGTGAATGGTAAGTGGGGAGGCCAGAGGGAGACTGTCTGAAAAATAGCCATTGGATTTGTAATACAGGGGTTATATCCTTGGTCTATTATATATTTTGAGTGACTTTGTCTCATATTGCTGAAAGGTGTCTTTACATGGAAAATTGTCAGTGGTGGGTGGAATTATGGAGGCATGCAAATAAAATTAAGACCTAGGAGTCAGGAGACCAAGATTCTAGACTAGGCTCTATGAAAAAGTAGCTGCCTCTAGAACATGTGTATGTTTCAATTTCCTCATCTTCCAGATGAGAATAATGATGTCTGCCCTGATATCTCTCACTAGTGAAATGTCCTATTTCTATGGCTTCTTTGCCACTTTCAAGAAGTTACTGACAATGAAAAGTAAGGTGACTATGAAGGGGGGGGATTTCTGGCAACTAGGAAGGATGTATTCTTATCAGGATGTACAGTTCTCTCTGTTAGTCATCTTCAACTGGCTTCAATTCAACTTCTTACAGGTAGCCCTCAGTGAGTTGTTAAACAGAAATTTTGGCCACTTCTTAAACTTTATTCAACCATGACTCATTTTTAAAAGATGCTTTCCTAATAAAGGGACATGATGGTATTAACTGAATGTAATTCATTTTAATTAGCAGTCATCAGAGAGTGAGATTTCTGAACACATTGTGAGCTCTAGTTAGAAGAAATGGGGCAAACCACATCATAGGCTTGATTCTAAGATAAAAGCAGGGAAGAGAAACAGGCAGAAGAGCTGCTTCAGGCGAGCATCTAACGTAGAAAGATTAGTTTCTTACTAATGACAGTTTGAGTTTTGGGTGACTTAATGTTTTTCACTCATCAGAGACAAAAAAAACAAAAACAAAAAACAAAAACTCTTACTGCAAAGCTCTTAGGATCCAAATCTTCACATAGGGGAAGGTCTGTGTAAACAGGTACAACCTACCACTTGCAAAGTACTACCTTTCTAACAGCAGGGGCCTCGGTATTGAAGTAGACTTCTAATACCACCCCGCCCTTATTTAAAAGATAAGAAAGTCAGTCCATCCTTGGCGTTCCCTGGGAGAAAAGCGGACAACAGCATTATTCCTATTGCCCTAAGAACATTTTAGGTCCTGGAAACTTGGGGGACTTGTCCCAGATTACAGAACGGGTCTTTGAGAACTTGACACATGACTCACTGGAAAATGACCCGTTTCCCCTTGCGTGGCAGTAGCTGTTGCGTTTTGACTCCGGGCTAACCGCGTGTCGTGTCCCCGCAGGCCATGGAGGGGTCGGCGGCCCGGGAGCTGCAGGGCGCGGATGCGCTGCGCCGCTTCCAGGGGCTGCTGCTGGACCGCCGCGGCCGGCTGCACGGGCAGCTGCTGCGCCTGCGCGAGGTGGCCCGGCGCCTGGAGCGCCTCCGCCGGCGCTCCCTGGTGGCCAACGTGGCCGGCAGCTCGCTGAGCGCGGCGGGCGCTGTGGCCGCCATCGTCGGACTCTCGCTCAGCCCGGTCACCCTGGGGGTCTCGCTGCTGGCGTCGGCCGTGGGGCTGGGGGTGGCCACCGCCGGAGGGGCCATCACCATCACGTCTGACCTCTCCTTGATCTTCTGCAACTCCCGGGAGCTGCGACGGGTGCAGGAGATCACGGCCACCTGCCAGGACCAGATGCGCGAGATCCTGAGCTGCCTCGACTTCTTCTGCCGCGGGCAGGGCCGCGGGGACCGCCAGCTGCTGCAGTGCGGGAGGAACGCCTCCATCGCGCTGTACAACTCTGTCTACTTCATCGTCTTCTTCGGTTCCCGTGGCTTCCTCATCCCCAGGCGGGCTGAGGGGGCCACCAAAGTTAGCCAGGCCGTGCTGAAGGCCAAGATTCAGAAACTGGCTGAGAGCCTGGAGTCCTGCACCGGGGCCCTGGACGAGCTCAGCGAGCAGCTGGAGTCCAGAGTCCAGCTCTGCACGAAGAGCAGCCGTGGCCACGACCTCAAGATCTCAGCTGACTAGCCCGCGGGGCTGTTTTTCTGAGAACATCTTTTCTCCCTAAAGACCGAGGCCAGAAACCAACCCCCCTGGGATGCTCCAGATTTGTAACTCCATCACAAAAACACCAAGTTGGGTTAGGACCTGAACGCAAAGGACGGGAAAAACTGTTCTTGAAGTGGGGGGGGGGTGTTGGTGGGGGCATGTCCTTCCACGTCCTTTCCCATCACTGCAACATCCTGCCTGGGGCTGAGCGCTGGGGACTTTTTACTTGCCTGATCTTGGCGGAATATGTGACCTGAAAAAAAAAATTGTTGTGGCGTCCCTGCCCCTGCCACCGCCCCAGTGGTCTGAGCCCAGGCTGGAGAGGGTACAGACATGGCCACCCTCTGAAGTCATCAAAATGCCTTTGAGAGGAGACACTAGCTTTAAACCCTCTCTGCCAGAGTTTCTGAGTACAGAGAACTCCAGAGTCTAGAGCAAATCAGACCCTCTCTGAACTGTGTAGGAGGGTTCAGGATGCAGCAGGGGCACCCTCCCCGTAACACCTGTCCCCTCTCCTCTCAGGGTGCCCACTCACAGATCCAGCCTGGGGATGGAGTGGACCTTCCTGGATGGCTTCGTATTCCAGACCTCCAGGTACTCTGAGAGGGGAGATGAACTAAACGGTCATTTAAGTCCTGTCCCCTTGTGGGAAGAAACTGAGGCCAAGGAAGAGGAAGCAACTGCTTCATTTACTGACATCATAGTGCAGAGAGGCAGCAATGGCTTTTAAGTTAGTCCTGGGTTTATTCTCCCTGAGACTTGGCTTCCTGATCTGTAAGATGGATGCTAAAACCTCGCCCTGTTGGGAGTTATTAAGTGAGATAAAGTGCCAAGCACAAAGTCTGGATCACCAAGTGTGGCCCCTGGGCTGGCAACATTAACATTACCTGGAAACTTGTTAGAAAGGCAGATTCTTAGACTCAACTCTAGACTTGAGGAGTCAGAAACTCTGGAGGCGTGGACTGGTAACCTGTGTTTAAACAGCCTTCAGGGTGATCTGATGCCTGCTAAGGTTTGAAAACCACTGCAACAGGTGTTAGTTTCTGAGCCCCTAATGAGCTTTCACGAAGTCTGTAGCCTCTTTAGGGGCTCCACGGTCTTCAGAGTCACTCACAGAAGGTCAAGGACAGACTGTGTCCCAGAAGTAAAAGAATGTGCGTGGGAGCGGACTTTGTCAGTGCATCCTGGTGCAATTTCCCCCCAGGCGAACTAAGGGCTGTAACACAATCAGCCCTTTAGAGGGCAGTGTTATCCACTCGTTGTAGACACCGGTACAGAAAGGAATGTGAACTTAATGGAACCTGACCTTTATATTATCTTCTCTAAAAACCTCCAGACCATTGTTTTTTTTTAATTTATTTTAACTTTATTTAATTTCTTTTTATTATTTGTGTTTAATTTTATTTAACCACAACATTAGGGGGGAAAAATAGTAGGGAATAGCAAGTTTCTGAACGGGGGACTACTGAGGATCTTGCTGGAGATGAAGTTGAGTTTGCCTTTCTAAGATGGGGCCTGAGCTGAAAACAGCATTGCTTTCCTTCAACAAGTCTCTCTCCTTCAGAGCGGGCTTTTTTTCCCCACAGTGTTTTTAAATGATCCTTTTAAGTAAACGTGGGAAGTTCTGGATAGAGAGACCAGGAGCTGAATTTAAGCTTATAAATGGAGGCGTGACTTAGTGAATGTTGAAATGATATAAGCATATTTATCCTGAAGGTACTTTGCCAGCAGGTATCACTTGATCTGAAAAGCCTTCCCTATTTAGTTCAGGGGAGGGGGACCCAATTAGAGGCATATGAAGGAAGTACTTAGATTTTGGAAGCCTGACGTCTGGTGAAATTGGGTCTTATGGACAATAGACAAACTAGCTTTTGCTATGGTGGTGATGTCTTATATTTTCACTCTGGGAGCTATAAGAAATCTGTAAGCTGTCTCTAAGAAAATACTTTCAATTTCTTCAATTTCCATTCCTACAATTGTACTGTTGAAAAATATGTTGAAAAGTGTTTGGGACCATACATACAAAAACTTGGCTTTATTGTTTAATATGCTTTAAATTTACCCAGTCAACCCCCATGCTTCCCAATGATAGCAGTGTATCTGAGGAAGTGGAATTTTAGTGCTGGGGAGATGAATTGGTGTTTCTGTATTTTTTTTTCCTATAAACTACAATTGATCTGTATCCAGATTTATTTTAAAGTTGGTACTTTTTTTTTAAATGGTATCATTTCCTAGATTACCTTGCACACGTGCTGGCATTTTAGATCGCCAGAATGTACTTCACATGGTTGTTTATATAATGGTAAAAAGGTACAGTCACTCCCTAACTCCATCTTTTATTAGTGCTTAAGTGTGAATTAATTTCCAATGCCTGAGCTGTTTCCTAGAAATAAACCGGGCACTTTTGGAAGCAGCAGCAGCAGCAGTAAACATTTCCTATCAGTAGGGTTATTTTGAGTGTATCAAAATCTCACACTGCTGAAGCTATAATTTCAGTGACCCATTTTACATCTAAAGAAGGATGGAACAGTACTTTGCACATTATGGGAGCTCAGTAAATGCAATTGAATAATTTAGTGAATTGCTTAGCTATATTAATAGGAATTCGTTAATAATGACATATCATCCATCTTCTTATGTGTCTGTTAAAAAGATGGACGCCTCTCCCCAGATTTAAGTCAAGTTCAGTTAAATGGATCCTAGAGGCAAGTATTTTATTTACTTCTTTTGTGGGAATGTGAACAAGGCTTTTCTTTCAGGCCTTCATTCTATAAACAAAGAGATTGAAATGTTACGTTGTAAAGGGAAGAAGAGAAAGGGGTATTTAGATGACAAGTGTACTTCAGAAAAATATCTGAGTTTGAAAAATAAATATGTTTATACTAAAGGTTTAAGTGCTTCTGTCGGCTTCTGGGGTTTTCAATCGTTTGGATTGTTTCCTTTCACAGTAAAGGAGATTCATTTGGTTCTGCATGTCAGGGATTCAATGAAACTAGATTCTACTCTTAAAAAAAATAATCCTTAGCAAACATTCTGATTCTAATCGCTTCGATGCATTTGTGCTCAGGCACCTGTCATTTCCAATGTGGTAAATGTCAAAGTCAAAAGTATTTACCGGGAGAGAAAAAGAGAGAGAAGAGTGGTGTAGGAGCCACTCCAGATCAGATACGTCAAACAATTTGTCAACTTGATATATTCTCACTCAATGCCTTGGTGTGAAAAGAAAGTAGAGGGAATTGAGACATTGAGATAAAGGCATTGTGCAGAGATAAATGGGGATACAGTTAAATGCAGCAATTTTCGAATTCCACATTTTTTCCCTCACTGCAGCAAAATCAGTCCTTTCCTTTTATTGAAGTAAATTGCCCATTCCTTACACTTCTTGATCTTCCTGTAATTAAATCCCTAATCTCATGTTAGCCTGTGTATAAATCAGTGACTTTGAAAAAGAGCAGAGATGTAATCATTTTTACTTAGAATATTCAGCATCAAACAGCATAAAACCATTTTTAAAAAGTAATCTACTCATATTCAGGAATTCTGTTACTGTCTAGAAATCAGACACCCAACAGTTTCAAATCTTTGAACATAATAACAACCTGGGAAATAACTGAAAGGAATCCTAGAATCAGCCAAATTAGTCTTCATAAAACCCAAATGCTAGAAGCAGAAAGGGACGGGGAGGGACAGCATTTATATTACAAAGGCAAAACTTTTCCAGAAATCTCCCGGGAACTTCACCTTGCAAGTCAGTGATCTTGCCCATGCCAGGCAGGCTGAGAAATGTAGAACTTTTAGCTAGGAACTAGCTGTTCCCAATATACCTAGGATTCTCTTTGTAAAGACCAAAAGGAGGGTGGACATTGGGTAGAGGAGCCAGCAATCCAAACAAAGACCCGATAGTGGTTGCTGCAGTCGGTTGAGAACTATTGCCCTGGAGGTGATCTCACTGTCAGAGTGCCAGCCTTGGAGTCTCCACTCTAGAAACATCCCTGAATCTGGGTGTTGCCCTGTTAATGACTGTGCAACCAAAAAAAAAAAAAAAAAAAAACCAAAACAAAAAAACCCCCGCTGTGTTGGCAGGATCCTGGCTGTTTGCAAAGGCCAGCCACGAGCTGGGATCCTATCTTTGCTGAAGCATATGGTATTCCTGTCATAACAAGTATCCTTTTAGTTAATTGCAATAAATCTCTCCTTGTTGAGTTGACAGGAGGTTGGGATGTTGTTACTTTTTGCTCCTGGCAGACTCACAGGAGGGAAAGTAAACCCTGCTGTGGTTTGGACTAGGACAAAGAGTGAGCCCTAAGATCTGGAAATAATCCCTTAGCAACCAGAGCGTTGTTAGGAGAGGGGAAATCGTGCTGATGAAGCGAGACCCCTAAGGGGCCAGGAATGAACATTAGGCATCCTTAGCAGCCCCCCAACCCCAGTTCTGAGCGGCATTAGCACTGGCTTGTGGAGAGAAGACCCGCTGATGTGGTCTTGCTTGCACAGGTGAAGCTTGTCCATACGAAGCTACATCTGCAGAGAATGATGTTTAATCCCATTGTATGTTTCCAATATAACCCCAGGGCTGGGAGTGATGGCAGGCCTGCAACCTGATTTGCCCCAGGACTTTTGCAATGAGTCATGCCCAAGATCGCTGCCTCCCAAGCACACAGGGCAGCCATAGCATGGCTTGTCCCAGCATTTGTGTGGATCCAGTCGCTAAATTAACCCAAACAATTGTAACCGAGATAAGCTTTTTCTGTGGATGGAATTGGGGAGGGGAAGTGATGTCCAAAATCTTTCTTTCAGGCCTCAAATTTCCTTTGCTAGACTCCCTGGTTGACATGGAGACGTTTATTAAAACTGATTGTGTTATTAAAACTGCACTGTCAAAATGTCATTGAAGAACAATACTTTTCTCAGTGCTTAAATCAAATGCCATTTAGATAATAAGTATAGAAAATAAATGTGGATATTTAAAGATAATAATGGTAGTTAACATTTATTGGAAACTGACTAGGTACTGTTCCAAGTACAATTTGACAAGTATTATCACACAACCAATAAGAAATTAAAATGTAGTTTTTGCAAATGGCTAGTATTTGCAAAAAGTAACATGGGTGCAATTTGAAACTGCAAACTGATCAAACTTCAGCTTTGATTGTAAACACTTATGCATAGATATTTTGTAGTGCTGCTCCAGATGTCCCAGACATGGCGAGGTTCTTGTGAACAAAACACCTGAAATGGAAGCATGTGATTAATAAGAGCATTTTGCTAAGAGCTGATGTGCCAGGACAGACGATATTGACAGTAACCACACAGACATGAATAAAGGGATTACTGGTTCAACAGGCCTTTCCAGGTCTTGTATAAAAACCTCTGAAAATGAAACTTCTTGGGGTCGTTCCATCGAAACTGCCGCTGAACCTGCTGGTCAGTTTTCTTCCTGTTAGGGGCGTGTACTCAAGTTCAGTGTGGTAGCTATGCACTACAGTGTTGGATGCTTGTGGCTGAGTAAACAGGTCTGGGTAGCAATGGCTCTAAGTGTCAGAAAACTATTCAAAATGATAACCCTTTGTGGATGATTTGTTTTGAACGTTGTTGCCTGAGCTTTTGTGTAGGAAACACTGTCAATTGTTGGATTTTCATTCTTTCTAACTTCTCTGTAGTTTCGACATTGTTGACTACCCAGTTCTTAAAACACTCTTCTTTCTTGGATTCTGTGACATCTTTCTTATATGTCTCTCTGTTTAGCTTCCTTGACCATTTTCTTCCTCCTCTATTCCTAAACTTCTGACCAGGCTGCCAGCCCTCCCACTTCCATCGTATATTCTGATCCTTCAGTCCATTCCCAGTGTTTCACCAGTCCTGGGTTGGATGTTGGTGTGAATGAAACCAGTGCTAAAGGATTCTCTTGAGTCAGTTTGGACTTGTTGAGTATTAGATGAGATGAAAACAAAGGTGAAGATCACTGACTGAGTAAAGCAGATACAGGGAGCATGTGCAAAAAATGAAAATCCGAGTTGTTTCTTCCCACCCTGATCCCTCTCACTGGAGTGCTATGCTTTGATTCCAGCCCAGTGTAGACTTGCACTTATCTAGAGGTTCAAGAGCAATCTCTTTGTGTCTCTTACACAGACTTATCACATGACACCTTTTATTAGAGATATTTGTGCCTCCTCCAAGGCTCTGAAGGACAGAAACAGCATCTCAGATATCATTAAGCCTGCCTACAGTGTCTCTCCAGCTCCTGCCCCAGGAGATGGGATGTAACATTTGTGGAATGAATGGATAATGAACAGGCATCTTCATCCTCATGGATATATGGGCATTGCTTCTCAGCACATCTAAAGCTGAACATGTCCTGCTTCTCCTCTACAAAACTGGCCCAGTTTCACAACCTTTCTCCTTCTGTCCAAGGCTGCATTAGTTGCCTACCTTGGGAACTCATTGTCTCCAAATCTTCCCCTTCCGTATTTCTCTGATAGAACTTTGCCAAGGTCTATCCTTCCTATTAAATGTCTCTCCAGTACATTTTGATCCATTTCGCTGCTACCATAACCCACGGAGGCTTTTACTCTCTGACATTTGCAACAAGCGTCAAACCGGTTTTCCCGATTCCAAGTTCTTTCTGCTCAAATTCGTGCTATATTACATCCTTGATTCATTTACATGAGTCACAGGTTTCTTCCTATTCCAATCTGATGGAACATAACCTGATGTAAAACTTGACTCTGAATTCGAGTACACATCCCAGAGAAGGGCTGAGTTCCTGTGACATTTGTTATAGTTTAGTAGTGGATTGTGATGGGTGATATTATGAAGGGCTAAGATGAACTTAATCCTGTGGTTTTCCTGAAAAAATAATGAAGTAGTTTATGGACTTTACAAAAAAAGCCAAATCTGGAAGAACAGGTCCGAGGGTGAGGGTGGGGAGAGCCTTGGGATGCAGGGGAGATGGAAAGCAGAGGGTCAGCAGCTGGCAGAGGCAGGGTCGGGCCATCACTAGTGAATATCCTCCGTGAAGCCACCGGCCACGTGGTTCTGAGTGACCTGGGGGGAAGGATCAGACCCTCCCGCACCAGCAAAACAAACTGTTGGCAGGACCTCCGATGGTGAGAAACAGGAGCAGAGAGGAAAGGTAGCTCTATGTTGAACTTGACGTCTCACCTCCATAGGCTCTTAAACCTGTGCAGCTGGTGTGAAAAATGCAGGCCCAGCCCTAGCTCAGCACTGTTTTAGAGCTGAATCATAAATCTCCGGTGCTGACGATGAAATTCTCAACCTCTGAAAGCTTTCTTCCCCAGGGAGGCCTCCTTTTAAATGCAGGTTATCCAAAGAGGAGAAGACTTCCGAGGGCCCTGGGGTACCCGTCCCACCTCTCCAGGGTGGCCAGTTCTCTAAGCTTCGTCTTGAAGTTGCTAACGCACATTTACCTCTCAGAACAGGACTGGGGGACATCATTTCTCTCGATGTGCAGGGGCTGTTAAGAGAGGTTTTTCCTTCGTGTACTACCGTCAAATTGGACCCGTCCCCACACCGCTGCCTTACACGTGGAAGGCTGCTGAGCTGCTTCTGTCCTCACCAGGGAGGAGCAATGTTGGCCCAGGGTCATAACCTCTTCCAGAAGCTCAATTTAGTTTACGCCGTCCTTTACACACAAGCATGTGACCTTTCCCCATCACAACTGCTGCTTTAGCTCACTCCCTCCCATATGCACTACACTCCTCCAGACACACAGACACTCATCCATGCAACAAAATATTTATTTGATTTTTTTAATCAGACTTTTTTTTTAAATGGAGGTACTGGGGATTGAACCCAGGACCTTGTGCATGCTAAGCATGCACTCTACCGCTGAGCTATTATCTCCCCCCAGAAAACATTTATTAAGTG